AATAAAACACAGAACCTGGCTGGAGATCCTGGCTAGGCTGCTGATCAACTGAACGCTGTCTCTGTGTCCTTTATTCTTCGCCGACTCCATCCACACCTTTGGGAACCCCTGGATCTGCTGGGGTTGGACCCCAACACACCTGTCTGAGAGCTGAGCCACTGTAGATGTTCTCGGAGCAACCGAACCACAGCCCGTCCTCCGCTCACGGGTCTCTTGTGAAAGCCTGAGCACCTGTGTGGAGCTTCTCCCTTTGTCTTATAACCATGTCCACCAACGAGAATGCTAATTCGCCAGCTGCCCGCCTTAACAGATTCAAGAACAAGGGGAAAGACAGTACAGAAATGAGGCGGCGCCAAATAGAAGTTAATATGGAGCTGAGGAAAGCTAAGAAGGATGACCAGATGCTGAAAAGAAGAAATCTGAGCTCCTTTCCCGATGATGCTATGTCTCCACTGCAGGAAAACTGCAATAACCAGGGCACTGTAAATTGGTCTGTTGAGGACATTGTCAAAGGCATAAATAGCAACAATTTGGGAAGCCAGCTCCAAGCTACTCAGGCTGCAAGGGAACTGCTTTCTAGGGAAAAACAGCCTCCCATAGACAACATAATCCAGGCCGGTTTGATCCCAAAATTTGTGCACTTCTTGGGCAGAACTGATTGTAGTACCATCCAGTATGAATCTGCTTGGGCCCTCACTAACATTGCTTCCGGCACTTCGGAACAGACCAAGGCTGTAGTAGATGGAGGCGCTATTCCAGCATTCATTTCTCTGTTGGCATCTCCCCACGCTCACATCTGTGAACAAGCCGTATGGGCTCTAGGAAATATTGCAGGTGATGGTTCAGTTTTCCGAGACTTGGTTATCAAGTATGGTGCTGTTGGCCCACTGTTGGCTCTTCTTGCAGTTCCTGATATGTCATCTTTAGCATGTGGTTACTTACGTAATCTGACCTGGACACTTTCAAACCTTTGTCGCAACAAGAATCCTGTACCCCCATTAGATGCTGTTGAGCAGATTCTTCCTACTTTAGTTCGTCTCCTGCATCATGATGATCCAGAAGTATTAGCAGA